GAGTTTGAATTATCGGAAGAATCCTGTGTTTGTCCTCATTATAACAGTTATGTTAACTAAATCTAATCATAATTGTCGATAGTAATTATTGCGAGAGGTTTATGAATAACATATGTATCGATAATTCTAACGACACTTAGAGTACAAATGGTAAAGCTGTATTTCGTAAAATAGTTTCTTCTCCGGCAATATCATAGCATCATAATTGTCATAATAACTATCTGAGTGATTAATAAATAAATAATTCAATATATAACGAGAGATCAACGCGAGAATAACTTATTAATCGAAGCTTTGCGTAAGAGGGAAATTAGTCTCGACTTCACAGTTAATAACGCGGTTATCGATACTCCGAGCGTATTCGCGTATCTATTGGTATAGTGATATTACCATATAGCGGCATGGAATTCGATTAATGTTAATAAATTTCTAATTACAACACAAGAATGGCCTATGCAACACATTAATTTCGTATTATAATTCATCAGTGATTTTACACGCACGCGTGGAAATCCCTTCTGACACACGCTAAGTGATAGACATTTAATTATTTACAACATGCAAAATTTCGTATATGCGTGAGTAGATTCACGCTTAAATAAAGTTCAATTAACGGATACGGTATGCTTTAATTACAAGCACCGCCGTAATGGCGTGCATGTACTTTAATTGGCGAATTCATGCAGCGACGATGCATGTATATATTAAAGAAACGAAATAAGAATTTTTGAATATATACATATATATATATTTTTGCCCATTACTACTCGTGCTATTAAAAAAAATAAAAGAACATCAAACATTTCGCTTACCTTAAGCGATGTATATTTTCCCTTAAATTATAGAAATGTCTCTCCTCTGTTCCACATTTATCAAGCACATTGTTTAGTAATATTGAATAATTTACGGTGTATTGCAATTTTAAACGGAAGTTTATTACAGTTTATTAGGCAGTTTATTAAAGCCGCTTGAAATTTATATTTATGAAAACCGTATATCCGATGAAACAGAATAATTTTCTACTAAAATTATGTATTGACATGAGGTAGCGGTTAATGAGAGAATTCCATTAAAGGTTTCTTTGTCGATCTGAATTCTAAAGTAACAGTTCCGTATTGTGATAATTTGATTAATGTGCAATATAATTTAGTATATTATATTAAGTGCAATTATATTAAGTGCGTTTTCTCGTTGAATAATTAACAATGTACACAATATATATTTCATTTTATTTATACATATTAATTTGACGCTTTACAAAGTATCTCAATATTAAATTTCATTTATCTAGATGTTGATAAAGATGCAAGTATTTTATATACTAAATGTTAATAAAAATGCAAGTACTTTATATATTAAATTGCGTTTCTGCTGAAATTGCATATAATTGACTTTTCGCTTTCAAATTATTTTAACTAGATAAAATATATGAAAAAATTATTATAGGTTGTCTATTGCGATAATAAGTACGAAGTATTTTACGTTTTATGTTATAGTTTACGTTGCATAGCTATTTGTAAAATTGACTTTATCTGATATGATATAAGTATGATAGAGATACCAGTTATATTTTATATGAAATTCCGTAGCAAAGTTTGAAAATATGTTCTGCTAGTTTTCTGTTTTAAAAATTTGATAGTGGAGTGGTTTATGACTGTACGCGCAGTTCTGTTAGCAGAAATCCAAATTCGAGATGCAAACCACTTTTCCACGTACGAAATCGGATTTTGTGTACTCTCGCTTTACAAGAGACTTTTCAAAGCGTGATGTCTCTGCACTCGCATACTCACTTCGTGCGAATTTTAGAGATTTTAAGCACCGAGCTGTCCTCTCAAAGCGAATTCCAAATTCTGCGTCCATAGATTGTTCGAATTGCATTATTGTGCGGTAAAATATAAAAGCACATGGCATGGACATTTTTTCTCTTCAGCTGTTTCTTATGGTTAAATTTGCGACTGGATATGCCAGTGAATGCCTGCGGAACTATGAAATGACCAGGGTTGACCAAAAATGTGTTTTTTTTTAAGCAAAACATTCTGTTTTTTTTATATTTAAAACGTGTTTTTAATGTTTTATATATGTTTTAAACAGCTTTAGAAAAAAATCATGTTAAAAAAAATTATGTTTAAAAAAAATTAATTTTAAATACATATTTATTATATTTTATTATATTTTAAACATATATTTATTATATTTTATTATAACTCATTTTTACTTTCAAGTATTTTGAAACATTTCTGAGGTACATTTTAGCATTTAATTACATCTACTTCCTCATTTTTCTTAAACTTGAGCATATTATCATATGAATATATGTATATTTGTACTATTTACTATTTAACATTTTATTTGACTGTATATATGTATATTCTAAATTATGCAAATTTTAACAATAGCATGGCATTTTGCTAATGTGGTTCTTTATGCGTATTAATTACTCGTGGCTTCTTTTTTAAGACTTTTATTTCAAAATAATTACTCCTTGAACTAATTGTAGTTTTAATATTAATCTATAGTTTGCGTTACCATAGATTTTTAGTACCGAGCTGCCTATATGCAGGGTATTTGGAAACTAATGATAAATCTTTCGCAGGAATGGACTAAATTGAGATGAAAACTCCTTTATTATTCTACAATTTTTGCAATAGTTAACAAATATTAATTGCTAAAAATTGTCGAAAATTGATCTTCAATAATTTTTTACTCAAATACTATCAACTTTATAGAAAAACTGCAAAAGAATTATTTATTTTCTTCTCATACTAGAACTCTACAAATTTTTTCAGAATTTTTTATCAATTGTTTAGTACTGCATTTCTCATTTTTACCAACATGAGAAAATACGATATTAAAAAATTGTGAAAAAATTATAAAAAAATTCTCAGAACTTTATAAGAAGAAAATTAATGATTTTTGTCTCTTGCAATTGTTCTGTAAAGTTGATAGTATTTGAGTAAAAACTTATTGAAGACCAATATTTGACAATTTTTAGTAATTAATATCTTGTTAACTATTGCGAAAAATGTAGAGAATTTTTCTTTTTAGTTTTGTCCATTCTGCCCCTATGCGAAAGATTTATTATTATTTCCCAAATATCTTGTATATAAAGTATTATACGTATACATGTGTATGTATATACATTTGTATACATGCATATATTCTACAATACATTCAACTTTTTTATTAATTTTGTAACCAAATTACTGTTTTCTAAACAAAATTAACTTTTTAAGACTATTTTTATGAAAGGCCACATTATCATTCACGTTCCTCTTCGATTCGCCATCATGCAATGTCCCACATTTTTATTAATAGTGTCCTAAGAAATAAATATTTCATAATTTTGAGTCCAGAATCGATTCAACAATGTTTTAATGAATGTAATTGCCAAGTTTTAAACTTAAATAATCATTATTATTATTAATCAAGTAAACTAAGTTATCATGTAAAATGTAACTAAAGTATCACCTTCTCCTCTAGTAATAAAATAGTATTAAAAACATTTAAAAAACGTTTAAAATACTTGTTTTAAATTGTTTAAAAAAAAAGCATGTTTAATTTAATCTGATATTTAAAACATGTTTTAAACATTTATTTAAAAAAAATTTTTAAACAAAACAACCCTGGAAATGAACCGATCTTCTGGATTCAGCCCGGAGGATTCTCATGTTGAATAATTAAATTTTAGAATAGAGCTCTTTAATTACGTTATTATATTGTACCGAAAGGAAATAGCCGTGGGCCGGTTTGTTTTATAGTATATAATACAGTCAACATAAGCATAATATGCACATAGAGTTTAGTGCGTATATAACACATTGCTGAATCAGTTTACCGCAAATGTAACATATATTATTGAAAATGTTGGAGAAAATAAGAAGCTATGATAGAAAATCGATTGTCGACAAATTATATCCAAACTTTATGTGTTGAATATGTAAAAAGAATTAATTAACAATTACTAAAATATTATTAATTTATGTAAACAATTAACAATCAATAGCTGTTAATAATTAATAACGATCGATTTTTATCGCATGTACTAGAAATTTATTACTACATTATTTATTACTTGTGTCTTCAGATTATCCAGATTTAAAATTGTGCATATTGCAACAGCCAAACTTTTTTTTACGGAAAGAACAGTTTTGCTGAAATATCTAAAAATTTAATTAGATACAGATTTGAAAAATAAAATCTTTTTGAGATTAAGAAAAGGAATTTTCTTTTTTACTATATATAATGAAGTAAGATTTTTAAACTTTTTACTCTTTAATATTACATAACTTGCTGCAGATCTTATTAAGAAATTCTAATTGACATTGAATGTTAAGCTCATTCATATTCTACAGTAGGTATACTCCATGCAAAAATTCTCTTTTGACTCCGTTGATATAGTATCCTGGTCGTGATGTCATTCATATTCATACTCCAACAGTGAGTTTATCCGATGTTACCCGATGTTTTGATTTAATGAATAAACGATACTCGGCAGAATTGTTGCAAATTTAGGTCAAAGTACTCACATTCATTCTGTTACTATATTCTCATTGAGTTTGTAGTAATCATTTATCGAATTGTGTTATCATACGCAAATTACATACATCACACATCGAAATTGTAAGCGATTCAAACATATAGCATTTTACATATCGATGAAATATGCAATAATCGATTCATATACATAATCAATGTATCACGTGATGGTCAACGTGTATTTTTTAATTAGAGTATATTGAAAAGCTTTAGCATTGAGCGCTTTAATGTTACGTGATGACGAATATTAAGTAATTCAATTGAAAGACTGTTAGTTTAGCTGATAGTTTTCTAATACAATTAAAAATACAGTACAGAAAATGTTGTGTAAGTTAATAAAAAAGGCATAAGAACTTTTTACGATATTAAAGATTTAAATAATGTCATATAAATCGATGTGCTTTTCTTAACAGATTGTAATATCTTATTATTCTTGAATGAGAATGAGATTCTTGTATACTCACCATGTATGTCTAAATTAATGTCAACTGTTAGTGGTTCCACGAGTGCAATATTGTTGACTTTACACGTGAATGTTGCACCTAACTCTTCTCGTGTAATTTGCATCTCCAGTAAACTACTGCCAGTACCAATTCCGGTATCGGTGACAGTCCTCGAGTTCGTTGCTAAAATAAAACATTTTTTGATAGATATCGTTCAAAGAAAAAAAGAAATTCTTGTTATTCATTATTTTAACAAATAACATAAATTTAGAAATACATATTGAAATATGTATAAAGAATTATAATAATGTTTCGTATTTCTTTTAAAGTGCGCACAGAATTAATCATATAATAAAAACAGAAAATCCTGCTACCATCGGATATAACACGGATTATCCGATAGCTGATTAATAAATAAAGCTAAGGCTTCTTTGTCTTTCCGCGTTTGAATAATGATTCAATAGTAACGCTTCCTTTAAATTTTAATTTACATGCAATTTCACTAAAGCATAGAAATAAAATTACACATTCATTTATTTATTTCATTCTAATTATTGTAGGTTATTATATAAGATAAAATTCTAGATCATTTTATAGATAAAATTACGTTTGGTTCAGTTATATTACATTTCACATAATTAGATTATAGTTATATTATCCGGGCAATGATTATGTAACTTTTTCCTTAAGACGGAAACATGACAAGTGCAAATTTTTATTAAAATTAATAAAAAAAATTTTCATTTTTCATGTTCCTAGTGAAAAAGTTACATGATCGATACTCTGATTAGTATTTTAAATTCATTAATTTCATTACTCAATATACTCGTATTTACTTGGCAATTAATTATTATTATTATTACAAGAATAAAAAATTGGCTAAATTATTTAATAGAAAAAGATATTTATAGAAAATGTTATTAAAGAAAGTTAAATAAAGTTAAAGTTAATTAAATTAAGTTTGGCTTGTCTTCTTTCAAAATTCAAAAGCATGTATGAACTTATAAATACATCTGATCCTATCGGTTTCAAAGTAAGCAAATTGAAAATCCTTACCTTCGAGTAGCTCGTCATCTTTAAACCACTCAACCGTAGGTACAGGTTTGCCTTCTCCACTCTCACAGTACAATGATATTGTCGAGCCCTCATTTATAGGTCCTAAAGTGGCGCCAGTGCTCAAAGTATTTTTGGAATTTTCATCGATGACACGTACAAACGCTGGTTGCACTGGAAAAATATAATATACAGAAATTATATAGAAGATCGTTTTACTTTATAATTACTTCCACTAGCTTTAAATATATATGTTGTAAGAACTTAAAATTTTGTCATAATTCATATCTGCGTTATGATATATATGATATTTGTTAAATAACCGTATAAAATTATACATTTTTTTCTTCCATCGACATCTTAAAATATATGTCTGCACGAAATAGCTCGTTTCCTTATGACTTTTATTTCCTGTTCGGATAAATGCATTCTTTATATAAGCCCTTTGATGAAATGACGTTCATTACGACGGAATTTCTTAACAAGAATGTACGTTGTATATACGCTATTATGCACAAAGATAGCGCTCCACGGAAAACTACCTATATTGCTTTGATGTTCAAAATAATACTGAGAGTGTTCCGAGTTTCATAAAAAATTGCATTTACGATATAAATAAAGTATTGGTTTTGTTTAAAGTTATGTGTGATACGCAAGTATCGAAAACGTCAACATTTAAAACTTAATTTGTTATTTTGAGTTTGGGTGTTATAAATAACGATATCCTGACTATGGGATTTTAGACGTACGTTTTTTTTTTGAGGATATCGACGTTTTCAAGCCTTTCGATTCACACAAATCGATGAACAGCTCTGATATATTGTTCTAATATACTTCAGTGTAAGCAAATTGTATCCTCGATAGTTCATATTTGTTCTATATATATTTCGGTTTAAATAATAGATACAGATTCCATTATATATGTGTATATATATATATATATATATATATATATATATATATATGTTTGTACATACATATATTTTGTGTATGTATTGCGTAAGGTTGAAACAAAAATTTGTAGCGCTATTTCATTTATATATATTATGTCTATATCTTTTTAAAAAAACTTCGACAATTATTCAATTCGATAGAGTAAAGTGTCAGCTTTAAGAATCTGTTTTTTTTTAATTGTAATACGATAATTTTTCATGGAGTTATATAAGCAATCAAAATGTTGAACAATCAAACAAAATATTTCTTTTATTTAATTCACAATAATTCAATAAAAGTTATAAAAATCATAGAAAACACATTTTTAAACAATTTTAATCAAGAAAATTTTAATCATTCACAGAAAATAAAAAATTTTTGTAAGTTTTTTTTGGACACGTAATAGGTCCACGAAGTGAGAAGAAAATTTTGTTTAGTTTGTAGTTTTCTATATATGTATTAGGTGTTGGAATTAATTCGTAGCGTTTTACAAGTGATGGGAAGTACTTTCATTAATGTATTTTTTAATGCTCATGTGAAATAAATAACATTCTTTCATTAAAAAACGCTACGAATTAATTCCAACACCTAATAAAAAATATTAAACTCAAAGAAACTCAAAAGACATAAGTGACTTTTCGAAAATAGATATTTTAAGCTTAAACATTTTTTTTCAAAATTTAAATTTTGTTCACTTTTAACAGAGAGTTATGATTGCTTGAATTTTGAAATTCGTAGTGCTACAAACTTTTGTTCCAATCCAATATCTTATACTTGTCACGCCAATTTAATTTCAATTTTATCAAATAGATAACTCCCAGATGTTTCTGTTATCTTTTTATTTAAAATGCATTTATATAACAAATTGTATATATGTACAATTACATTTTGATGTAATGATAGATTAAATTAATGACAATTTTATTAATTTGAAGTGCTCGATATAACTTTGTTACAATAAATGATTTAATCACGACATTTAAAAGTGTTATCACGTTCAGTTCTTTTCTCAGCACGTTCGATCTGAGCTTTGTCTTCTCTACGCGATGAAAGAAAGTAAAGCATGCCTTGAAATTCCATCGTTACATCGATTTTCTGGCGTGGAGAGTCCCATAACTTTCTACAATTCCTACGAGAGTAAAGTGACTTCCACTTATCGAATAGGCGCTATATTCTTAGGACACTATAAATCAGATTCCTAGTAACACCGACTGAATACATTCAGCCTGCGGTGTTCTATTACTAGCTGTCGGTCTTGTACGTACGCATGTACATACAAATGCAACTATCGCATATATTTGTGAGACATTTGCATGCATTCACGTATACCATACACTCGGTGTAGCATTAAGGGTGCTTATGCGCAAATACTGTCTTTAAAGATAATCATACTGCAAAGTGATTTCAAAGAATTGCTAACGATAGAAAGTAGGTACATCTACATGCATAGAAGCTTTTCTGTGGTACACTTTCGTTATATTTAGTACGTTTTAATGTAACTAATTTAATGCATACATCCCGAATTTATCTCAAATGTAATTTTAAAGTAAACGTTGTAAATTTTCAATATTCGCCTTTAGAAGATTAAAACTATTACTATTTACCTGTTAAAAAAAATGATAACTTGTAAATGTATATAAATTTTATAAATGTATTTATTTGTGTAAATTTTAAACACAAATCATAGAATTTAATATCAAATATTGCTAACACAATATTTGATATTAAATTCTATGATTTGTGTTTAAAATTTACGCAAATAAATGCACTAAAAGAAGATTTCAAATCAATAATAAATAACATTAGATCGATCGATATATGAACACAACTAACAATAAGTAAGAAAATGTCTTATTCGATTTCATTTACATCTTTATGGTTAATAATATTTCAGTGTAAGATTATATATCTATACATTTAGTTTTTTATAAACTATATGCCAATTTAGATATTGACATAACATATGAGATATATGATTTAAAAATAATTCTTTTCATTAAAAGCATATAAACTTTTAGATTCAAATATTGGCATATCTTTGACTTTTATTTTATTTTAATTAAATTGTCTTCGTCCATTTTTTGTAGCAATCGATCAGATTGTGTCATTGGCAAATGGTAGAAAATGAGAATTTGATTGTAAAAGAAAAATTTCTATTCCTCTTTCTCTCTCTCTGACCTGTTTGAAAAATCAATAAACTATAAAAGACTGTATAAATATTCTTGCATTAAGCTAATCATGTTTAATTATTCAATTCGTTTGGAAAAAATCACAGTTAAACATAAAAATTAATTAAAGTTAAGCTAAAATCAATTTAATGTAATTCTGGATTTATATAAAAACTGGTGTAATAATTTTCCTAGGATTTTCATCCTAATCCTATTTTATTCGATTGGAAATTATATTTATTTTATTTGGCCGCAGTCTGCTGTTTAAATCCAGACTGTCTAAATCCGCCTATCTTTTTTACATTTATTTCGTAAAGAAAGAAACTAGCGAAGACAATTGTTTCTTAGATCTTCTCGCTTTTTTACTGCTTACATGTTTCTTCTAAGTATCTATTTTCAAGATTTCCGAGAATATCTGCAGCTTATGCTAAATTGAAATTTATATAATGGTGATCTAAACAAGAAACTTGAAAAAAAACATTTTTTTTATCATACAATTTTAGGTTTTATATTTGAATAATTAGGAATTGAGTTACTATTTGAAGTGCCTACACTATATATACAAGTATATACTATATTAAATCCATAGTTTCAAATTTTACCTAATTTAAGTCACTACTACTCTTATAATATATCGTTATTTTATGTAGTATAAAATAATGATATATTGAGCAGTGATAATTAGGTTAAATTTGATACTCCATAGATTTAACAGTATATGCATATCAAGTTATTACTAGAAATAGTAATAACTAAATCAAGAAAATTGTAATGAATACTTTTTCAATAAATTCTTTTTCAATAAAATTCATTCTTTTTTTAAGATCATAATTTTAAAATATGTCTTAAAAAAATTGTATAAAATTATAAAACGGATTATAAAAAATGATCTTTATTCTTAATATGATTTATTAAAAAAACTGTTAACTTTCATTAGTCACATAATTTTAAAACTGTTAAGAATAAAAAATTAAATAGGATTTATTCTGCTGAAATGAAAGTTCTAAATTTATATTATATTTTTTTAATCATTACAAAAAAGGTCTACATATATATATTTCAATTATTTTAATATAAAAATCTTAATATAAAATCTAGGTTCTGCCATTAAATTTTGTCTCATAAGATTTTAAAATAAATTTGTAGACTTAAAATAATCAGATAAAGTCAGGGAACTAAAATATTAATAGGTTAATATTTAGATTTTCGTTACAAAGTCAACCAACGAGAAATATTTAGCAAAACGTACGTGATTTGTTAAATAATTCATTAACGAGTTTCTATATTACACCTTTTATTTCTAAAGAATAAATATTTCGTTGTATCCAAGATTTAACTGAATTGTTTTCGTGCGTAGTACATAAGTTTCATAATAAGACGACAATGTTAATTCCGAAATGTTAAGTCTGAATTATTTTAATAAAAGAATTTGAAAATTTTAAGTCATTATTATTTATCGCTTTATTCGTCTTCTCTTAATTTTAACAAGGCATTAAATTACATTTCATTAAAATTCCATATATTAATATTATATTATATCAATAAGTTTAAATTAAGAGATTATACCAGATCCAATTAGAATGACTAAATAAATTCACATTTGAAGGCCACACTTCATAAATGTGAAGAAGATTCGATCAATAGGTCGCGGGATAAGTGATTCTTCATGAAATTTGAATAGCACCAAAATGGCCATCTGTGTTTCAATCGAAACTGTATTCTCAATTTTGCTCAATAAATTATTCAACTAGATTAAAGAGAATAGTTCATTGTTAACCCAAAATTAACGTTGTAATGAATGAAACATACGGTTTTATTATATAATATTTAGATTATTTTAGATTTAGATATTCGAGAGATAAGATAACTCCGGCAAATACACTGAGCTGGGATTTACGCCGTAGAAGTCAGAAAAAATAGAAGAAGTGGGGGTAATTTTCCCGCAATTACTCTTATACCTTTATATATCCTTATGTTATAATTATATTATGTTATAAATATATTATGTTATAATTATATTATGTTATATTATAATATATTATATTATGTTATATTATGTTATAATTATATAAT